GAGGACATCCACACTCCCGAGGAAGAGCTCATCAGTTCGGATCCCAGCCTTCCGCTCTTCAACAGATTGTTCTGCAGTACCCCTTCAGCGAAACGCCGCATGCCAGAGCGCTCTGGATGTTGCTGACGGCTGAGCGCTGAGATACTTACGACCCGGACAACGAGGAGAACAACTTCCATCTGTCCCGCACTCACGCCTTCCCAACACCATCTTAGGCCAACAACCTGAGAGTAGTGACCTCAGGACGCCAAGCAGCTGAAGGACTCTCTAGCTGTACAACTCGCAGCTTAGATAGGAGTAGACGACGGGGGGGGGGGGGGGGGGGCGGATTTCAGAAAAGATCGCTGTCTGGCCCAGCCCTTCCGAAACAGCAGATGCCTCAGAAAATTCTTGCGGGAAGTCCGAGGCCTGACCACCTTCAGCGACGACTTCAGCTGAAGCATTTCCGCCAGGCGCATCAGAGGCTTTTTTGTCGCCTCAACGTCTTGACAGAATCCCTGGACAGCAAGTTTCACATCCTTGAAGCTTCATGCATACCTCGCCAAGACAACACTTTCCAGTCCGGTCTGACTGCCGCAGGTCTGCTCGGAAGTGATACCAAGTTCGCTGTACATCGCCAGCTATCAGGCAGTGGTTGACATGCTGCATCACGCTAGTCGGTGCCGCAAGTGCACGTGCTTCATGTCACACCACTGCATGTCTTGCTGGTTGGCCTTAAACAAACAGAGCAGCTGAACAATGGTACATTTCGTGCTTATGAGCAGTGCTGCCAGTCTGCACTCGGCATGATCCCTGCACAATGTGCAGGTGGCATGTGACGAGGAGGCACTTCACATGTGCGGCATAACCCACATCGTCAACACGGCGGCCGACATATGCGCTGCCCTGAGTCAACGCTTGTGCTTGATTTCGAGTATTAGTCGCGGTGTGGCTAGGAAGCAGACTGGATTTGGTTGCGTGACTTTGAGGTGACAGCTGCTTTCCCGACAAGTTTCAATATATCACCTATTACCTCAAGGACACGAATTGATTTGCGGAGCTTGGTTTGGTTAAGCGGCTTGGCATCCCTGGAGGCACAGGTCTGGCGTGCTCCTCCCCTTTCAGAGCTATCATGAGTTTCTATTAAGAATGCTGCTGTTTCGACCTTTCCGGACGGCTTCTGCAGGATGCGAACAGCGAAGACATCTCGAGTCTGTTGTACAGAACACTGGAGTGGATGTACGAGGCGCGGTGCTCCTCACAGACAGCTTTAAGGGGAAATGTGGCCGGACATAACCGGAACTCTGAAGTTCACGCTTCTGTGGATCGAAGAACCAGCCTCGCGCCTGCCAGGCCATTGGCAAAGGTGGACGTGTGTTGGTTCACTGCCGAGAGGGTGTGAGCAGGCCGGATGGTGCTTTGAAACCTTTAAACCCAGAACGATGCTTCAACAGCTTGGTACAACAAGCTCAGTTGTTTCTGGAATTCACTGGAATTGACTTTATGGTCCTGTATGTCGCAAGCTTGCATCATCAGAAACATGCATCTTGTTGGTATTGGGAGTGTGACGCGAACGCGGCTGTAGCGCTTTGCATGCCTTGCGACCTGAACAAGCTTCAAACCCTCAGCTCTGAACCGGTTTACAATACTGCTTGGGCAATGCGTGTCTCTGAAGAAAGATGGTTTCGAATCCTCTGACTGAACAAAGAAAGTCAGGCATGCAACATCAACAAATGTTCGAGCTGGCAAGACCCGCCATGGCCGTGAAAAGAACCAAGCCTAAACCCGAGATCGTATGCCCCCAAGCCCTCATCTACGCCAAAAAGCCCTAAAAGCTTCTCAACAAGATCGGCCCGGGAGGTCAGCTACCTTCGTCATTGCTTACCTCATGTGGTGGTCTCGGCCTTAGCTCTTGCCTGGCCACGGCTTCTCTGAAGGAATATTTCGTATGGTGGACACGGAGAAATGCATATGGGCGGATTCTGTAACAGATGTAATCCTGCCACGGTGCTGGATACTCAATTTCTGTCGCGTATGAGATCATACCTTGCATACATGCGGGCAGGCAGGCAGCAGGCATGCATCTACACATCTACACGTATGTCTATAGGTGTGTAAGTGCAGCTCGTTGCTGATTTTCCTCGTTGCTTGATTCGCCTACGACGGTTCTACAGCAGAGGCTATGGAATGCTACAAAGTGCAAGTGGATAGATACAACGGGCGGTAGTCATTGTGCGGTATACGCCGTTGGTTCTGCAGCATAGTGTCTACATGATAGTCTCCAGGTACCACGGTTTGTGGCGAAATGTCCTAGGCACGTAAGCAAGCCGCCTGAAGCAGTATCGTCAGGCCGCTGGGAGCAAACTCGAAGCCAAACTTCGGTGTCATGGGCACGTTGTGTTCCATTGGAGCGGTCTCTGCATGGGGCCTGTGATATTCTTCTTGATACCACTCTTATCTTGAGCGGCTTTACGTAGAATATCGACCTCAAGAAGGATTCGCCACCTCTCGAGGTTCAATCTTTCCTTCGAAGCGGCTCATGAGCGCATCAGACAAGTGCGACCCATCTGCAACCCAAACACAGGCCGGGGCACGAATGCACGGATGGCGCTGTGGAGAGTTGGCTTTCAAGACTTCGAGCTTTCTTGGGTATAGATCTATTCGAGCCCGGGTCGTCCCTGCGGGTGACAGGGTTCTGGGCGAAAGCCATGTGCCTTGAGCTGAAGTCCTTCATTCCGAGCCTGAAGATAGAATCCAGGTTCGAAACCCCTCTGTACTGAGATCCTAAGCCTTACCTAAGCAGAAAAATCTACTTCCTTGAAGCGCAAGCAGGGCGCCTAAAGCTGGAACGTCGAAGCCCATGCCCAGAAATTTCTACTCAGCATCTTGGAGGCTTCACCTGTCAGTTGTTGCAGCTGGCGAAGCGGCTGTCCAGCAGCCCCGGAGGGGTGCGCGAGGGTGTGGTAGAGGATGTTGTTCAGAGGAATGGAATAAGCAGTGTTCGTGGCCTGGCTCAGTCGGCGCTTCGGTATCCTGGCAGTGTTCCTTGTTCCACTCAAGCTTGGTATTTCGTCGTGGTCTAGCTCCGTGGAAGGCCCGAAACTCCACGACACAGCAATCCGTTGTCCGCTTGGCTGTGATGTGGTTTAAGCTATTCTTGGTCTAGGAACACGATCGCAAAGCAACTGTTCTGGTCACAGTCTTGTCCAGAGTCTTCATCGGAATCTGTTCATGAAGCTCAATGACATTAACACACATTCTGTGACAACTTCAGCGAGGCAGCAAAGCTCATGTGGACCTGCTTCTTCAGCGGAGCCAGCTTGAAGTTGTCTCTATTTCTACGTCTACTTACTAATCATGGCCCTGCAGAATCACGCCCGACGCGAACGGAAATCGCCGTTCAGGTTTTGGATCTTTCGATTCATCTACGGCAACCTCAAAGCACTGAACCCAAAGTCTTGCGCCTTTTAACATGAGTGAGTGGCAGGCTGCGCCCATCATGTCCGACAGGGCCTCGCTCTTCCGCGTCGCGCCATACCATCCCAAGGACTCACACGGACGGGCTGCTTGGCGGCTCCATATTGGACAGTCATGATGCAAACACCGGAATCGCTGGTTGCAAGGCTCTAGGGTCTAGAGTTGGCTGCAAGTCTCAGCTGCAAAGCACGACGGCCGCAGGAGCCCTTTCTGCTCCTCGTGCCAGCGGAGCGCCAGCCAGGACCAACAAAGTTTGATCCTCGCTTCGGCCAGAGCCTTGATGGTCCGTTGATGATGATGATGATGATGCAGATGCAAGAACAGAAGTTTAACTGTTGGTGACCTGTAGTGCTGACCCAAGGTGTCCAGGGCCGGCAACTTGAGTCAACTCCATGCCCTGGCAGTCATAGCGTTCACTAGCCATCTGAGGAATCTGTCGTGAATCCGGTATTGGGAGTCCTTGAGCATCGAAACGGTACATTTCGTAGAGCTCAGCAAGGCTTTCCTCTAATTTCACTATTTAACTTGTCAACGCCCCTCCCTGCAAGTTGGGTTTTCTTGGTTTTGGCAAACTTGGGAAGCCTCAGTTATGGGGTCCCGCCACATCCTGCCGTCCCTGAGCCGTAGGGTGCCATCAATCGCTGCCGCGCGAGGTTGGGTGGCGCACGCTGGTCTTCAGTTCATTCTGTGGATGGGTGCCGAGGCGGGAGGATCAAGAGCTGAGACCTGCAGAGCCGTTTAAGGGGGCTTCTTAGAGCTAGGGCCAGCTAGGGATACTTTAGTTTGTTGGCAAAGTGTTTGTTACAAGGCCTTTATCGCAAAGGTTGTATCTTGGGCTCTTAGAATTAAGGTTGCCGTGTTTAGTGGGGCGGTATGGTATATGCAGGATCCTACGTATTATTTAGGGTAGTTAGGCTAGTTTCTCAAGTCACCGCTTTGCGGCAATACATCGCGCCACGTCGCATCATCACTGGCACTGATTACTATAGTGGTATATCATGATAAAGTGGTCACAGGGGTTACCGTCATCGCAACAGTAGAGCAGTATCATCAGCTGCAGATACCTCCTCTTGGTTATACAAGCTCAGCTTTTGCAGTCTAAAGCCTAATCCGATCTCGTTGAGATGTGTGAATTAATCAGCTGGCTGATGGCAGTTCCCGAAGACCAAACGCGAAGTCTTCTCCAGGTCCACGATCCCCAGCTCGTTAGGCAAACCGTCGAGGCCAGGACGATTTCGTGGGTTTCGGATCTTCTGCTGGGGTATCTGCCGCAAGGGGTTTTCGTGCTTGGGCATCTGCTACGGCTCTCGATTGTTGAGCATCGCGGGAGGCCCACAAGCGCCGCGTGGAATTCTTTGAGAAGTGCCAGTGCCGGGCTCAGCGGCTGTAAACGCCGAGCGAGCACGATGGCAGCTGCGAGGCAGGCATCAACTGTCGCATTGTGTCGCCGACGACAACGAGAACTGGGCGTGCAAGGATCTCAAACAAAACCATCACCATCCCCAGCATCAAAAAGGACGACGACAACAGCAACAACTGCAACAGCTTGTGCCACAGCTTCATTGTACGCCACTATTACTATGACTGTGACTATGACCTTTCTTTCCGGGAGGCTGAAGGTCCAGAGGACGTGCCTATTGCTTGACAATGAATTCTGGAATCCCACGGGTGTCTGTATGCACTAGCGCCGATTTACGGGAGCCGCGCAGAAATCAGACCTTCCCGAGTGCGCGAGGAGCCTAACCCGGCTGCTACGAGAGCCAAGCCGTATCTCCAGTGCTCAAAACTCAAAGATGCGAAGCCTAGAATGTAGCTGCAGCTAAAGCGCTAACAGAAATAAACAGGGGTTCTACTATTCGCGGCAGAACCCGTTAAAACCGGCTACCAAGCAAGACAGTCCTGAGCCTATTCCGGCAAACTACAAGACCAAATCCCACATGGTTGCTTTGAATACACCATGCCCGCTGCGACATGCGTGCCATGTATACTGACAGCGTAGATACAGACAAGCATGCCGAGCAAACAATTGACAAGAGATCAGTACGCAGGGAACTTTAGCGATTGTCCCTCGGCAGCTCAACCTAGGGAGCGCGGTCGATAAAGCAAAGTTGCAGAATTGATGACTTCCACAATGCACTGAGAAACAAGTCACAAGCATCCGAGCTTACTATTCTTGGCAAGGGTCACCTTTTTGAGAAACTCTTGCTCCACAAGCGCCTCGACGGTCATCTTACCATCCGTCCATAGATCGGTGAAGCCATCTTCCGCAATGTTCTTCAAGCCTCCAGTCGGAGCGACGATGAGCCGCGTTCCCGAGCGCATAGCCTCCATCATGATGCAGGACATGTCCCATGGTTCCCACCTGGCAGCAACGTGCAGTCGCGTCCAGCGAGCAGAGCAAAACACTCCATTACCTTCCAGCTTGCGCAAAACAGCCATGGGCCACGAAACCAGGGGTTCCAACACCAACCACCACCATTTGCAGTTCAGTGTCGTCCGGCACTTCCATCAGCATCTCAAGGAGGAAGTTGCTGCCCATCTTGGCGACCAACCTCCCAATGAAGTACATCAACATGTAGTGTTTCCGATAAAATTAACCCTCTCTTGATTTTTTCTTCTGCTGCAGCTGCTGTGAACGGTCCGCAAGTCCTCTTGGCCGCGGTGGTGACATCCATGCCACTTGGGGAAACTCTCTTCTTGACACCGCTACAGAATCCTGCACAGCGGCGGCCTGGATGCATATGTTCTTCTGCGGCCCATGGCGTGCCGATTGTCGAGGGGCACTGGGGTCCCGCTGCCGGGGAGTTTGATCCCGGACCCTGACTATGACCAATACCATTGCCATTATCATGACTATTACCTATACTGTTACTATTGCTATCACCATTACTTCTGTTGTTGCTACTGCTAGTACTACGACGACGACGACTACTACTACTTCTAGCACCACCCCCCTTACCAACCACCTATCGCCTAAGGTGTTGGGCAAACACCGAACAGTAATTTCGTATGAAACGCATCCATTAAGCGTGAAAACAGGGGGCGACGCAGTTCACTGTATGTGGGGAAAACGCACCCTCTAAGCCGCAGAAGCTGGACTCATCATCGTGTGGGCACGTCCACCTCTCCTCAGTCAAGGCTGAGTCGCGTACTTTAAGCGCCAAAAACAGTGATAAGGAGAGCTGGTTGGTACGAGGGGGCCTACTGTCATCATCACCATCATCATCATCATCATGATCATCATCATCATCATCATCATCGCATGACGAGTGTCACCTCTTTGCGCACGGAGCATGGTGTTCCTTGGAGATCAGTTGTTTCCAAAGTTTCTCTTGTCGCTCAAACGTTTCAAATCCGCCATCCGAGCCCGGCATGCTTCAAGTGAGCTGACACAAAAATCTGGCGTTACAGCAGAATGCAGCAGATCTCTGAGCCTAATCCATGCAAACCTCGTGCTGACGAAGAACGGGACTGGAAGAAAAATGTCGAATTGTAAGACTCTGAACTTAGGTGCAGTCTTCTTGTCATGCAACAGGGCGAAGATGCCACGCGCCCGGCTTCTCGCAGTGAATGCGATTTTCAATGCCGATTCATGGCTCCTTCAAGCCAGCTTTCGGAGCACGCAGCCCCAACCCAAGCCGGCTGCCAGCCTCAAGCGTTCTCTTATCAGGCGCAGCAGCTGTGGCAGCTGCTCGGGGAGGCTCCACCCAGCAGATCAGAAGTCGCGACACATCGGTCAGGGGCCCAGGGTAGTTTGTCCACCAATGACTAGGACGACGATGGACAATTTCTGCTGCAGCTACTGCTTTGTCACCGCTAGCACTACTGCGACGGCCCGACCACTTGTGTCTTGAAGTCTCGGCCACCAGCCCAGACTTCTAGAGTGCACAACCAAGGCCCGAGTTCGATGCGGACCATGAGATCATGGCCTTCCACTCAGACATTCGGAGGCAACCTGCTGAGTTCAAAAGCAGTGGAAGCTACAGTAACGCCTTAACATTTGGCACTGGTAAGGCTATTTATAGTAAGCTTGCGGCACTTGGGTCCTGCAAGGGGTGAAGGACACAAGCTTCAGGGATCGAACCTCCGTGCCAGCCTTCGCACGTCCAACGACAAAGGTTCGAGACATTTTCTGCTGCCCCCTTGCTACGAGTCAACGCATTTTCATGGCCGGGGATAGTTATCCAGAGGGTCGAGAAGCCGCAGGATCCTGCAGGCCCATGAACAGCCAAGCACCAGTGGCCAGACGCACTTCTTTCCACGTTCGCTTCCATGGCATTCGGTACACAGGGTCTGTACCGAAGGAGAGAAGGCCGTGACACTGCAGCTTCCCCCACGGGCGTGAGCGGGATGCTGAAGCGGTGCGCTATTGGTTAAGAGATGATGACTGTACTGTTCCGTCTTCTAGCAAGTTTCACACTCTCGAGGAGCCTGATGAAGCCGAAATTCTCAAAAATCCCGCACTGTTTACATCCTGAAGCTGAGGTGAGCACGCATGGGAGGGGTGGAGCTGCAGGACGGGCGTGTCGCGCATATCGGAGTTCAGCGGCGCTACTTGGAGTTTGGCCTTTCGGTTTTGGTTGTGATATTGTTGTCAGGTATCTGGTTGAGGGCTTGAACTGATTCAATTTAACCACGACGAATACCACAAACTCTGTGGCCCCAGCTTTGAGACAGCGGTAGAGGGGTCGCTGTCTTTCGGGACTCGCCGTCTGATGCAGCACGCACGGCCGAATGGATGTTTGCAAGCTTATTATGACTCTTCTCTTGGAGCATGCTGCGATCCGAGCGGTTCAGACTGGCAATGTTGTTCAACTCCTTGACCGCCTGCCTTGGATGGTTGTTGCGACGCTCCCTGCAGTCACCTTGGAAGGCACTTCCTTTCCATCCCCCGCTGCAGCACCCGGCAGCACTGTCCAGCGAGAGGCGCAAAACTGCGTCGGGTTTGGATAGGTTTAGGGATCCGGCTCCCCAACATTAAAGCTTGGCACTGTTCCGGCGGCACAGGGGCGAAAGTTAAGCTTTCCGCATAACGCGTAGGAGGAATAAATTATAGAAGTGCTGCATTCTGCTGCACACGAACTGTTGTGTGTCCAGGATTAGTGACTAGTGCGTCGTATGGGTAGACTTAGCAGCGTAGCTCATGGCGATGTCTTGCCCGGACGATCTGAAAGATCGCTCGACTCAGGATGGTCGGTCTGCCAATCCTGCCTGGGAAGCGTGCAGATCCCAGCACTGACTGTTGTTTAGGTTTGGTGTGTTCGCCTGGGTCTCTTGAAAACGGGACTGTGAGTAGGATTTCGGCAGGTCCGGTGCCGGACGTCCTCCACCGATATTGGCTGTCGGTAGATGAGCGCCACTCCATGTATCATAGCATCGGTGAGCTCACGGTTGAGGGCGGAGAATCGAAGGGAAGGTACATCCTCCACTGCAACTGCGAAGACAGAACAGGTTTAAAGGAGTGTGGCACGTTCGTTTGAAGCCGTAGGAATACTTCCCTTTGAGAACACTCGCTTAGAGAATAGTTTCACATTGCAAAGTCACAGAAGCAGAAGTCGAAACCGTGGATTGGTGTGGGAGCTCGGGTCCACACCCTGTAGGTGAGCGGCGTCCGCTGTCGTTTTAGGCACATCCAAGAGGCTAGCGCGGCTAGCTCCTCTGTATCATAGTGCTGGCACGGCTGAATACGTGTTGGCTTGAAAGATAGCAGCAGCGGAAAGCTCTGGTGTTATTTGCAGCTGTGTGCCACAGAACCGGAAGCTTGTAGGGCAATGAGCAGAGTGTTGCTTTGATGCAGTCGTGACATGGCAGCCTACACACCTGATAGACTACTCCCAGTCAGGCCTTCTACACTCAGCCTGTTCTCAAGCTTCAGAACTCTCTGCTCAAAGCAAGTTCCCGGCCGACACGATTTTTCAACTGCTTGCCCGTGGTGGGTTCTGCAGCCAGACAACGAAACGAATGCCGCTGGGCGGCACCGGAAGAGGACGCTGAACGTTCTTGAAGGTCAATGGGACGTGAGATGACGCGATGCAGTGAGCTTCGTTTTTCGTTTCAATCTTGCAATAGCAAGGTTACCGGTTTCGGCGGCGGAAGATCGAGACAATGCCAATGTCAAAAGACAGTCAGTCCAGGCTTTGTGTGCTCTTCAGTCCTTCGAAAGGTGTCGAATCTCCAGGTCTCGGCATGCATCCTTGCAGTGGAAGCACTCACCCCCGAAGCCTGTAGGCGCCATCCACTATTTCCTGAAGGCCGGAACCGTTCCGAAACCCTTCACCTTTAAGCCGCCTAACCTTGATCTACAAAGATGATCCTTGGAAAGTAGATCACCAGTGTTGGGTAACAGGAAGTGAGGAGCCAAGGCTGCGTGCCATTCGTAGAAAACCTGAAGTTTCGCTCAACGGCACAAACTGCAATGCCTTCCAACTGCATGCTCATACTCGTCGTCCTTTCAAGGCCACCTGTGTTGAGTGTACATGTTCAAGGTTTTTGTGGCGAGTCCATGGATCTTGTAGACATGCTCGGCGAAGCAAGCAATGACGGAGCCATAATACAGTCTCATCGTCTGATCTGGTAGCAGGAACCTCGAGCGAAGAAATACTGTAGTAAAACTAGAACAAAGGGCAGCAACAGTCGAAAACTGAGTCTGCCAGTCGTAGGTAAACATAGGTCTTGGGCCTGATCGGGCCTTGGGGCTTTAGAGCGGTGGACGTGTTTCAACCAATGGGTTTTCACCTATCTCCACTTGAACACGGCCCTTCCGAAGTAGAGTGTCTCGCCTCACAGACCCAGAGCTTGGGGCTCTTATACAAGCCGCTCTCATCCCGAAGAGCCTGGGACTGTCCCGCCCGCAGCTCTACTACATCCCATTCGTGGGCCCCGCGTTGTACTTCGTGCACTCCTGCTGGATGGCCTCCATCTACTGTTTCGAGCCCTAGCCTGAGGCCTTCCGGGCATGGTAAGCAGAAGTATTCAAGAAGGCAGTCGAGGAATGAACTGTCAGTTCTGAGAAAAGACCATAAGGTACAGGTGGGTCCATCAGCGGTGGACAGCGAACGCGCGGGTGGACTACTTCGAGGTGGACTCAGTGGAGTGCAGAAGAAAGAAAGTGAACTGTGAGTACCTATATTATTATATGGGATTTGGCCATCAGAGCCTATGGCCTTTGGTGGTTTTTTGAGGTCGGGTGAGGGGTTCAATGAGTTCGAATCTTCGAGGTCTGGTGATGCGCTGGCTAGCATTCGGAGAGTCACTGCACATGCAGCCACCTCTCTCATCGCCCCCATGACCATGACTGTGATTCCCGACATATTTGGTTTTGTCGTTGGTGGTAGTGGTGGGAGTTTGGTGACATGTGTTGTTGTTCCTAACGTTGGGGTCCTTCTTGCTCTTGTTGCTGCGGTTGGTACAGTAGTCGTCATGGCGGGGAGAGGACCATCGTTGGCCCGCACGTGCTCGAAGTCTTGCCACTTCGCAGCATTCCCCTGCATCACCAAGCATCCGGGCCTTTCCCCGATTCAGTTGTGCAGTTGAGTTATGGCTTCGCACAAGCCCAGGTACCCAGCCAACCTACTTGTCAATCTCGGGACTAAGCGGGAGAATGGAACTTGAAGCCACATCGCGCCTGAAAACTGAAGCCCGGAACCTGGAAGCTGCAGCTGCAAGCTGTGAGCCGGAACCGACCCAGAAGCCTTTCAAGCGGCCAGCGCCACTGGCTCTATTTCTTTGGCTTCGGCTTTCCGGTCTCCTTCCTGAGCGTCCTTTGCTCCGGCCTTAAAGGGCTCCTGCAAGGGCCCCCTTTTTCAGGATTCCTAGAAGGAGGACTCTAAGGGCTCCCATAAGGGCTCCGAGGAAAGCTGTCAGAAGTGAGTGTCATCGTTTATCTAACTGTCTTTGGGTTGGCCACTCGACTTCCTGTTTTGCAGAGAATCGCCTCCTCGGGTGCCCCGGGCTGCAAGCGTACAGAGGCCTGAGTACAAGGATGTTCTCTTGAAAGGCACGGGAACACTTGCGGATTTTTCGGTTACACTACACTGAGTGCCGTGTGTGTATGTTCGTGTCTCTTGAAGTAGAGAGCATGCTCCCACCTGTAAATCGCTCGAAGTCTTGACAAATCGTGGCAGAGTTTGGACTCATAGGGTGGAGCCTCCGGAAAGCTCCTGTGATGGTTGTTGGCTATGCCGGGCAGAACTAACAAGGCTTGCAGTGATTGTAGAAGCCCCATGCGTATCGCCAGGATCTTTTGCTATATAGGTGCGGGGGCACTGTTATTCGAAGCCTCCACCACACATGAGACGACTCTAAAGGCACATGCATCTGAACCACTGCTTCCCGATTGCGTGCCTCCTGCATCTCGCAAAACCATGCAAAGACCAAGGTAGCAAGCTTCCTTCACCATCCCCAAGGTCACCAAGTCAAGGTTTCTTTTTGGGCTTCGGAAAGCCCATGCAAGCGCGCCCACACACACACACACCTGCAACCGGATGTCAGCTGTACCCGGTACCCCTCAAAGCAGGTTCATGATCAAGGACTGGAGCCTTAAACCATCCCAGGTCCGCGCTTCATCGATGCAGGGGTGTTTGCCCTCTTTTTCCCGCTCTTCGTGCTGACGGCCACGCCCTTATGAAAGGTCTTAGGGCTCAGCTGCAGCGGGCTTGTGCAAGCTTGCACGCTGTTTAGTGCGTCGCATCGTCGGGAAATGCCATGTCTACCGCAATTTAGATGCATTGGTCTACAAGGAGAAAGCCTTGTTGGAAATGAAATGGATCGGAGCCGCACGAGAGATTTGCTGGTCTCGCATAGATCGATGCCATACCCGAAGGGCTGAAATGAACCGGGTACTCTCCGCTTCACGGATGCAGCACTTCCTGCTTCAAAGACAGTAACTCGCGTGACAAGCCTGGCGACCAGGCCACAAAAGCAGAGCCCAAAGCGCTGCAGCATGAAGCTCAGTTGTCCGATCGGCCAATAGGAAGGCAGAAGAATGTTGTGGACTTCGAGCTACTAGTGGTGCGAAATGCCGGCGATGAGGGTCATGTATAGGTGACGAGCTCGCGGCGCCTTTCATGATGACGCACGAGCATTGTTGGTTTTGACGGGGTCCCTCCGGGCAGGAGCCGGTAGTTCAGCAAATTGACTGCACATCGTACTCTATCGCACTCCACCTCGAACAGTTGGCTCAGGACCCGAAGGGTCCCAGAGGGGAGTGGAGGCCTCGTGACTTCGGCAGGCAGTGCCCAACCTCGTTGCAGAGACTGCCGCTCTTCATCGTCGTGCAGGCACGGATTTAGCGAGAATGAGGTCAAAGGCCCACAAAGCAAATCGTGGAGAGTGACACAAGCCTGCCGTGGATGAGAGCATCATGATGCCAGAGCCCAAATAGAAGTCGCGTGTGCAGGGCGTCTCCTGCTTCTTGGTCCGCCTCTTCGAGGGTCGGGCAGCCTTGGTCGGTTCGAGCATGTTCTGATGTGGAATGCTGTCAGGGTCAGACATGTCGGTCCGCATGAATGCCCTGAGATCCACACGACTTGTCTTGGTTTCAGGACCCTTGCCCGGCAGCCGGTAGTTTGCTTCGACGCCAGGCAAAACTCGAGCAGAGGCTTCAAAAGTCAAGTGAGCCAGAGGTCTCAAAGGTAGACACTGGAAGATGGACAGGACACGACACATTTGTCAAGGCCTGTGGGTGGCTTTTGCTATCACAGACCATGGCAGGCTGCCCAACGGACCTTTGAAGGTTAGTTCGGGCAATGAGGATCGGTGCATCAAGCATGCAGCGGCTTAGAAGCAATGGCCGTTCCAGGCATACTTCGCAGTGCAAACCAATCAGCTTGTATCGGAAGATCAATATCTCATGTGGTGCTGCGACTAGGCCCTTAGGCCTTAGGAATCCGCCCTCTCAACCGAGCCGTGGGGGTGGGTCCACTGCGGCTACATGTGTATACGTCGATGTAGGGCTGAGGGCTCGGAGTTTATACATTGCGGGAGGGGGGAAAGGATGATAGACTTACCTTAAAAGCAATGCAAGAGGGACCAGATTTGGAGGGATATACCCTGGAGCTGCCGCCTCGGGCACACGCCATCCAACAACGAGACTTGAAGTTGGAGTAGCTTTGGGGTTAGGGGCTGTTATTCAAAAACCAAAAACACTCACAGATCGGGTAAATGGTCAAGCAGGGGGCTTAGGAAAGGGATGGCGCAAAGTGTAGAGTTATTGCAGGAGGGCTTTGAGGTTCAGACAGCGAGCCTCGAGAGGCCGGAGCTTCGAGTAGTAGGTTCGGGGTTCGTGCGGAATCTGAGAAACATGCCTGTCATCTCCGGACGATAGGGCTCTTGCCACAACGGCAAGTCGGCTGG